TCAGGAAGTGGGATACTGTAGCTAATTTGACGGAAAGTTCTTTATAATCTTGTTAATATTTTTAATTTTGTTTGTTTCAGGGCAAAGACAAAGGACGGTTGCAAGATGTTACGTGACAGACTGGCAGAAAAAGGTGTATCCCTCCCTTCGGGACGAAGAAAGACTGCGCCAACGACGTCGTTCACAGCACTTTGCGAGAGTGAGTTGCCGCTTGGGGCTGCTAATGAAAATAGTTGTAAAAATAAAGAAATGTGGTGTATGTAACGGTCTTTTCAGGAGAAGCCCTAGTAATGGCTCGTGATTTTAACACTCTCTGCATGAATAGCCTGAACACATTTGAAATTGCCAGGCATTCTAACCGACTTCAGTACACTCCACAGGAATTGGCTATAGTCAGGTATGAGCCAGATTTTTTCACCTAAGTACGGTAACTCCTACAGAAAAACTTATTTTAGACGTTTCTTGGCTGGAATCATGGCGATATTCGACGAAGTTCCAGAAGACCCTGAGGATTATGTGGAGAAGAATTCGGCTACCCACTCCATTAATATATTTAGTATGGTAAGCTCAAAGCTGAACCATTGCTGTGGAAATACTGGGTCTTCTCTGGAAGAAGGGATTTAACGTGCGGACGAGTCGTGGCAAATTCGAATTCGATGGGTTACAAGGCTTCTGTCGACCCGATATTTTCTGGCTGAGAGGGTCCAGAAGTATTCTCTTATCACATCTTCAGGTCGGGCATTTAGAGGGAGGAAAATAAGGAGCAGGGATCAGACAAGAAGGAAGGGAAAAGGAAGGGGATGTTACGATTGTCTTATCACAGACCCAGCGCACCTTTCACAGACGCCAGGCGCTACGCTTTTATCATATTTCAGGAAGAATTTGGAAGCATGAGCGATCCCCAATGCCTTGGAAACCCAAGAAGACATGCTTTATGAAAATATGATTGATTTATAATATACAGAACAATGCATAAAAACCTCTTCTCAGCTAGGCAACCATCGGATTCGCCAAATCAGCTCTGAAATCGTCGGGAGGGTACTGGGAAAAATTGCGACCAACACATCATGCTTCAGCGGGTAAGTGCTATATTTATACTGAGTTTTAGTCTGAACTTCCTCAATCCTATGCCGTTTAGTACGGCCACCACGCTTCACACAAACTTCATGCCGTACCACATGCAACAATTTTTATAGAGTAGAATTTAAGTGATGTATATAGTGACTCAACTATTTCATATATGACTTTATTTATGTAATTTTAAACGTTCGATATCGAGATATCACATATGCCTTTATTGTGATTGGACAATATATCGACGACTTTCAATTTGGTCGTATATTCGACACGTTTGTCACCGATGAGACTCATTTGTGCACCCATTTGTTGTTTTATTTGTAACTTATTGTAAATTCTCTGTATATATTAATAAATTTAAAAATTGATAGTGCGATTAAGTCGTAAAAGAATAACTAGGTACAGTTTGGTTTCTCGGGGGAAGGGGGATTTAGCTGTTTTTTAATCGATTACTGTCGATGGCTCCAGTTGTGAACTTCTTGTGAAGTTATAGAAGAGGGAAGCTTTGTTTACACTTGGACAAGAGTCCACAGGTCTCAGAAAGTTGTCACCTTTACGTGCTAGCAAGGGGAATAAGGTAATGCAAATGGCCCTCCAAGTCGAACAGCACCAAAACCGGTTTCGAATTGCCAAAAAACTCGTGCCCAAAGCCTAACAAACTGCTTAACAAGAAGCCAGGCAGTAGGTAAAGTGGTGGGGAAAATCGAGGCGCATAGAGGACGAAACAATGGGATCCAGTTGATCCCATTGACAGTTGGTAATTAGATAGAACGAGCGGTTCGGCTAGGGGACATTTTGCAGTTTTGCTACTTCAAGTAGACTTGTCGACCCATCTAGACTCTTCTCGAGTTGAGAGGCTTTACCATGATAGCTTAACGAGCTTCACAATAATTGACAGGCGGGCGCGACGTCGCACGCGAACCCACCAGCTCGGTGATTTACGATTCTTTGCCACATACCCCGCCAGAGAAGACATCTGTCCCAACTACGGCTACGAACGCCTAAAAAAGAGGGGAGCTAAAGTTCAGAGCAGTTTCGTCCTGCTCTTGTTCTAGCTCGAATGCCTACTGTGGGATGCCCACGGATTACCGTCGAATAAATTTGCCATGTAACGTTTTGAAAGGCGAAGGTTTAGCCCTGATTGATATCGTCGCAATAAGTCGGGGCGGTGTCAGCAGGGGTGGAGTCGGCCTGCCTTCGGCTGCCTCGCTCTACCTGGTGATCGATTGGTGACCTATTTACGAAGGGAAGGTTACAACTAAAAATTCTGGTGAGTCCTGC